GCGGACGGCATAGTGTTAATAGTTTGAGTGCCACGTTATTTACATTCGGGTGGCGATATTTCTCACGTAAACTTGAAGATTAACACGTTGACTACCACGAAAACATCAGCGTTTTATGTACTACTTACACCTTCGTAACAAAGGTAAACAGGAATAATTATTAATTACTAGCTACCACAATTCTTACATTACAATATTATCTAGTTATGTGCATTATTCTTTGTTTCATTAATCTTGAAAACAGTTATCTTATAAATTATAATTGTTTTCAAGTTATTTCTAATCTCCGGCCACCAGTGACCACTACGGCAGTCAACGTATTAACATTCGCGTAACATAAGATTAGATCATCTTCTTGGTGACGTATCGGAGGAACCGAATTGTGTTGGGCGTATGAAATATAAGAAAGATAGAGCAATTGTCAGGAAGAACCTTGGTTTTTTAGTTTCTGCTTAACACTTTAACTGCTATGCCAGTCACCGATGACTGACGCTTCTGAATTAATTGAAAACAATCGTAACATATAGGATAATCGATATTCAATGAAAATGTTTAATAACGTAGCTAAGTTGATGATAGTGTAATGCAAAGATTGTAACGTCAAATAGTGAATGATTGTTGCTACTTTTGTTTGCTACCAAGGAACAGAAAAATATGCAAGATTTTCGTGGCGCTTAACATTGTAACATTTGGAAGGAATGCAACGAAATTGTCCATTCTACTTTAACTGGAAATTTCATTTGAAAATAATACAGTCATAACAGCAAAATAATTTTCTGCTTTGAGCTATTAGCCAATTGAACGACATTGGTTTTTGTTAAATTCATCTAGAAATCTTCATCAATCTCACTCGTCATTGTACAGCAAGGGGTTAACCCTCCACGCGTATTTCCATCGTACGTTACACTCGCGCCGTCCTTTGGTCATTCCTCCTTTGCTTTGGTTTCTGCTTTACCGATTCTTCCTTGAACCTGCACTTTGGTCCTTTTAGCTCGGTGTTTTCTATTGATTTTTGGGTGCTTGGGATTAGCCAGTGGTTATGTGTTACATACATACATACCTTTGGTGTTAGCACTAAAACTACTGTACCGGTCAAACTTATCGATTCTAATTTGTTTCTTGTGCAATCATTAATCTTAAAGGCATTGAAAATTTGAAATAATCTTGAAATTAAATAGTTTCACTTGGATACTACAACGAATGCCTGAAGGAACTTCTTCTGTAGAGTTCACTGTCATCTCTGTTCGCTACTTTCAACTCTTTATAAACATTTTGACTTTCTTGTTAATTCTTTGAATTCCATGTGGACGTTTACGTTGCCGTTAGAATTGTCGCGTCCGCGTTATTTTTTATTTTTATTCTTCATTACGAGTACTTTCTGCGAGTTTGTTTCAGGATTTTTTTAGTTGTATATAGTAAAAGTTCCTTTCTGTTGAAATTACCATTCGTTTCTTTTTCAACGGAATATAACTCTTTTTTAATCTCTAATTCAAACGTCGTTGCTTTTACGTTACTTTCCATTCGTTGAAGGAATTTTTTGCCTATCTTGATTTTATAATACTCTTATCATTTATTCTCTGAATTTCCTTGTACCTTTTGCAATATTACTTCCACGCTGCTCTTTTCATATTTATTCGACGGAAGAAAGTGGAACTCGAAATGAGAATTCTTGTGAAAAAGGCAAGATTACCCTGCGAAGCTTCAATTCCGTAGTCTGGAGCTAATAACTCGCTCGGCGTTCTTCGGTTCATTGGTTCCTCCTCTTCCCCTAGTGCGGTGTATTTCGTGGGTTTAGTTACCGAAACTGCCTCTATTTTACACACATCTCCCCCTCGTTACTATGAAACACATGCTCCATTCTGTGTTGCCCAATTTATCCCACTTCCTCCCGTTCGCCCGCGACTTCCTTTATATTCAATTGCACTTCCTTTAATTCCTTTCTTTTTCCTATTTACCTATGTTCTATGTGCCCAATTTAGAAAAGCAATTTTCTCCGGACCGTTTAGAGGGAAGTTTCAACCCTTCGCCTTTCTTTTAACTCTTTGCACTCGAGAGGCGACTCACAATCGCCATTTGATTTCATGTAGGAAAATTATAGACTAACAGTCAATTTACAATTTCGGATAAGATGTCAACGTATGAATCATAGAAATAAATAGTTCTCACCTTTAACCCTTTGCACTTCAAATTTCCTTTGCATTTTTTCCTTGGTAACTCTGTATTATTATATTTTCTTTGAAATGCACTTAAAAGAATATTTAGTTTGTTGAGAGCAACGTGAACGATTCTTCTTACTACGTATTTCAATATTTGTTGAAAATCATACTGATAATATTTATCGAAAGTCGTTGGAAAAATCGGTTTTCGGGTATAAACAGTGTTTGCAAATAAGAGGTGTCATGCTCTGGTCTTAATTTGACATGGGACACGTGGTGTACTTATTAATAATATTGAAAATGATATAATAATATAATCTATTTGAAAAATATCTTGACAAAGGACACATGTGAATCAACTTTTACAGTCGCAAGTTTTTCACTAGAAATATTTGAACATTTTCTGATGTGACAAAGATGATATTTTGTGGAATTAACTCGAAGAGAAATATTATTAATATTTCTCAAAATTGATACATTATATAAGGTATAATATTAAATATCAAATTTTATAGTTTTACAGTGTGAAATCAGGTGGTGAGTCACCTCTCGAGTGCAAAGGGCTAATTTACGTAGGATTTTTCTCCATGTTAATTTCAAATAATATTATCAACACTTCAGCAGAAAACAATGAACATTTATACTGAAAAATATTGTCAAATGAATAGAATTGACATTTTTTTGTTCTTCGACGCCAAAGGATTCTGAACCAACGAGTTTTCCATTCAAAACGTATCGATTCACATGTAAATCTCGATTCCAACAATTGCAGTGTGTCCAAAAGCGAAGTTTACTTAAACTACATTAACCTTACCTTCACCTTTCAAGTGTCAATTCAATTTCTTCGATCTATCTCCCGCTTCCATGGTCAGCACTTAAAAAGCTCACCTGAAAAATTTTACCCTCGAAAAATTTCAATTTATATAGAATCCGACGAGTACGATACTCACAGAAGGAAAATTGTACTCGAGCTCCACTGTACCAGTCTTCATCCCCAATTTGTCTGACCTGTTCCCCAGCATCGCCCCCAATTCTCCCATTCAACTTCAGCCTTCAAAATTCTTTAACCGAAAAACTTTACCGAGGAAATTCAATTTAAATACAGCAAAACAAAAATTCTATTTAAGCTTCCTTGCTTTAAACTCCACCCCGATTTCAATTATTTCTTCAACTTTATCCTCTTTTTCCTCCACTTACGCAATTTTCCTATTTTTCTTCAAATACCAGCGTAATCCAATCAATAAATATTGCCTCGGAGAGTTCGATTTACGTGCAAATCCGATAATTAAAAAATTTCGAAGAGAAAAACCGTACTAGAGCCTCGATGAACCAGTTTTCAATTTTTCTGTCAATTTTCCAGCTCTACTCTCTTTTTCTCTGCTCTTCAATTTTTGCTTTCATATCTTCAACCCTTGAAATCCTCATTCGAAAGGATCACGCTGGGAAAACTTCGCTATAGAAAGGGAACGAAGCAATTCCGAAAAAATGATTCCATTCAATGTCCCAGTCCTCATCTTCGTCTCCCATTTCTATGGTCAATTTTCCAAGCTTGCTCTCTTTCATCATTCCACTCGGCAATTTCTCCTTCCATTTTCATCCCTGAAACTCTCCAAGTATTACCTTTCAGAGAACTCAGCATTCAAAAATATTCCAGCGAATGCGGTAGTCTTAACAAGAAGATCGCAGCCATCCTGCTTGCCCCATCTCCATTCCCCATTTCTGCGACCAATTTTCCAACCTCAGTCTCCTCGTTCCTCCCTCCCTTCCCAAATTTTCCCTTCTTCGCCCTTCGAAGTTCGTCAACCGAAAGACGTAATCTTTCAAATATGTCAATATACCGAGAGATTCAAGAAATTACAATATTTCTGAAAAGAAGATTCTACCCAACCTACCTGTCCTCGATTCCTGTGACTGATTCTCCAACGTATGTCTTTTCGTTCTTTGCTCACCAATATTTCCTGTAAACATTGGCCTTTAAAATTCTCCAAGAGAGAAATACTGTTTTCTCAAAAACATCAACATATAGACAGATTTTAATAATTATATGTAGCAAAAAGAATATTTAATCAAACCTCCAATACTTACATCTCCAATTTTTGTTACTAATTTCCTAATCTCAGCCCATTCTTTCCTAATGTTCCCTTGCAATCGCACTCTCTCAAATTTTCAATTAAAAAATGTCTTTCATATACTAAATGATCAAACCTACTACAATATTTATAAAAAGGATATCCTATGTAATCTCCACAGTACATCTCCAATTTCCAGTTCTCTATTCTCAACGTCCTATAAACCTCAGCTCCAGAATCCTCCATCAAAAAAACTACCCTCCCAAACCTCAGTACACCAAATGATCCCAGTAATTATAGTACTCATGAAAACAACATGTCTAACCCCCAATCTCCATTTCCTCACCCTCAACTTCCCGTACACCCCATCCTCAAAATCCTCCAGCAAAAAATACCTTCTATAAACCTCAACACACCAAACGATCCCAG